TACTACTGCCACCACCAATACCACTACGACGACGACTACTACTGCTGCTGCTACTGCTACTGCTACTGCTACTGCTACTGCTACTGCTACTGCTACTGCTACTGCTGCAAATGCCACTGCCACTGCCACTGCCACTGCTACTGCTACTGCTACTGCTGCTGCTACTACTGCTGCTGCTACTGCTGCCACTACTTTTGTTGCTGCTGCTGCTACTGTTTCTGCCGCTACGACTGCTGAGTGCTACTGCTGCTGCTACTACTGCTAACGCCGTCGACGACTTCTGACATACGGCGACTACTACTGCTACAACTACGACGACGACGACTGCTACCGCTACTACTGCTACTACTCCTACCACTACTACTACTGCTGCTGCTGCTGCTGCTACTACTACTACTACTACTCCCACTGCTACTGCTGCTTCTATTGCTACTACTGCTACTTCTGCTGCTGCGACTATGACGTCGACGACCACACCGTCGCTATTACAAGTGCTCCTGCTCCTGCTTCGGCTTCTGCTCCTGTCCCTGCTGCTGCTACTACTACTGCTGCGCCTGCTGCTGCGCCTGCTGCTGCGCCTGCTGCTGCCACAACAGTGACCACGACCGGTAGCAGCAGTGCCAGCACAACAGTGGCAGTGGCAGTAGTAGCAGTAGTCGCAATATGTCGCAATAGCAATACCAGTGCCATAGCAGGAGCAGTCGTTGTCCGGTTCAAACGCTGCTTTAGCCAAGATTTCCTTCTTTCGCCGATCGACAGCACAGGTCGTCCGGGTCTTAGCGACCCGTTGACTTGCGCCAGGGCATGTAAACTTCAAATTAAAACCCCACCAAGTCTTTTTTTTTTGTGATCTTGATGAGGGTCATGCGATCTTTCATGCGTCACGAGGAGGAGGAGGAGCAGTAGGAACATTAGCGGGCCAACTGCTGTGCTAGCATGCTTTGTCTCGGTACAGAGTGTTTGATGTAATTTGGGCATCATGTTTGATCTTAACGCTGATCACTTCTGTCATCGTCATCGTACTGTCATCTTCGCCATCACCACCATCATCATCATCTTCATCATCATCGTCATCATCACCATCACCATCAACATGAATATCACCATGACCATCTCCATGACCATCAACATGATAATGGCCATCACCATCAACATGAATATCACCATGACCATCTCCATGACCATCAACATGACAATGGCCATCACCATCACCATCACCATCAACATGAATATCACCACGACCATCTCCATGACCATCAACATGACAATGGCCATCACCATCATCATCATCATCATCACCACCATCGTAACGTCATCATCATCATCATCAGCAGCATCACATATCATCACCACCATCATATCGTCATCATCATCATCATCATCAGCATCACATATCATCACCGCCATCATCACCATCACAATCGCCATCATCATCATCATCATCATCATCATCACCGTCACCGTCACCATCATAATGATCATCATCGTTGGCTTCATCATCCTCATCCTCATCATCATCGCCATCATCGTCATTATCATCATCTCCTATTGAATCACGGGCATCCGGTTCATCACCATCGTCATCATTGGGACCACCAACAGCATCGCCCCATGACCACATCGTTATCATCATCATCATCATCGTCATCATCATCATCATCATCATCACCATAATCATCGTCATCATCGTCGCATGCGCCATGCCTTCACCATTACTGCCAAAACTTTCCGGTGTGTTCCAACATGCAAGAGCCCTGTCTGCCTCCGGCCTCCTTTCCTTCATGCACACCCCGTAGGTGCACTGGCATCGCAGACACCTGTCAATCGTGCAAAGACGGTGAAGCCGAAGGAGGAGTCCCGATTGCCTGAGATCCTTAGGAGCAGTCTTGTGGGCAGGGGCCCTCAAAATCATAACTAGTGCGACTGCCAAGCTGATCTCATGATGATGACCACTGTTATGATCAGTTTTGCTTGTGTCTTCACAGTGAAGACAAGAATTCCTCATCTACGGTAGTGTAATCACTACTGTAGGAGCTAACAGACATAAGGGCAAGAGCAAGAGGAACAAGTCCTAGCTTAGCATCAATGACGAATATTGTCCTTCAGCTGCTCCTCTCTCAGCTACTGCTCCTGGGTTCCTTGCTGCGACTGCGACACTACCGCTCTTGCAGCTGCTCCTGCCAGTACTAGGCCATTGCTACTACTGCCGCCGCTGGTGCCGCTGATGATGCTATGGTGATGCCGCATGGGTAGTAGAGAGTTCGAAGCAGGAGCCAGAAGCAGGTACTGGGACAATGGTGATGGTGCGATCATGATGGCAATGCTGCTCCTGGTGCCCTGCAGGCGCGAAGCCGGGGAGGCTTCCGCCTAGACCTGGCGGGTTCGTCGGCGTTGGGGTCGCTGGTAGTTGCGCGGGTCGCCGGAGCCTCAGAGCCTGACTTTTGATTTTGTCATAGAGTTAATGGGAGGGGGGCAAGGGGCGTTACTGCACCGACGTTGTCGTGCATCTTTCGACGTGATTTTGGGGTTGCACGCTCCCACGTTTCCCCTCAGCCTCGTAAAGCCCCGAGTTGTCAGCTCAGAGATCCCTTGATTGCTGATGCAAGGCCAAAGTTGCCACCCGTGCTGCCGGCACTGCAGCTTCCAGCTCGCCCGTTCCAAGCGTGCTGCGTTACTTCCGTTTCCACTCAGAGCTGCCACACCCAGTGCCCCGGCAATGTAGTCTGCTCCTCACAAGGCTTACGAATCTCTGAAATGCCCTGTCACGCCGAGTTCGGTTTGGGTTCGAAGCAAGGGTCTTGGCAGTGCACTTGGCAGTAGAGTCGCAGTATACTAGCATTTTTTGTTTGCATGCTTCTAGCTTCTGGCCCCAGGACTCTGCGAAGGTGTGCTGCTACGAGTGATTTTTTTGAGCTATCCTCCTTTGCTCCTTGCCCTGCCTTGCCAGGTGCCAGCACGGCGGAGCTACGTCGAGCGGAGGCAAGGCTCCGGCTGGCCCGAGCAATGCCCGCCGATGCAGGCCGTCTGGTGTTCTAAACAAGGGCCTTTCACGAGCATCCTGATGCCTCCACGTTGACGCTCTCCTGACTGGTACCTGTAAGGAAAGAGAGGCAGGACAGAACTTCCGTTGCTGAGTTGCTGTGATTGTGCGAGGCGGCCTCTGCCTTCGGTTGGGCCTCTTGGGTTCAACGGCAGAAGCTGGCAGCAAAGTGGTGTTGCGGTGACTCTGGGTAGGCCGGTATGCCCATAGCCTCGACCGAGGATGTCATAAACCCCTTCGACATCCAGTTTGACCCTGGCGAGGTGCGAGTTGCTTGACGCGAAGCCTTGCTTGAAGCTTCGTGATGTCCGTGCAGGCGGTTAGACAAGTTTTTGACAGTTCGGCAATTCCCTCTGCAACAGGATGGCTGGGAAATCCACAGCTCAGTAGAAGTTGGCGGCGGAGACCTTGAGGAACCGGGAAAGAAAGTCAGTTTCCAACGGGTGCAGTAGAGGCGGGTTGTCGACTTCCCGGTCAGATTAGGAACGACAACTCCGCAGGGCTGGAGCTTGCGTAGGCTTGCATGGTCCCCGAAGCAGTCGACGCTTGATTCCTTTGCTGTTTTTTCATCGAAAGGAGCGTGGAGACATCGGAGCCTTCGACCAGGAGCTTTCAGCGGGCCGCAAAGATTCCGGAGCCACAGGGTCACACGTGGAGCCTGGTAAGGACAACTGCTGGCAGTGGGATCCGAATCAGGCAGCCCAAAATGGCTTGAGAGTGTCCTTGTCGTAGACCCTGTGCCCTGCTTGAAGGTGCTTTCGGGTTCCCTTTGCGTGCTGATTTCTGGCTCAGGCTGTTGGCCGACATCAGAACAGCTTGTCAGTAGGTCACCACTTCGTTTAGAAGCCCGTTCGATATTACTCCAAACCTAAACCCGGCAAGCAGAAGAGAGGAAGCGAGTGGAACTCGAAACCCCAAGCTACTCTAAACGTTCGTATCTCAACTTTCGGGGCATTGTGGTAGGGGTTCGACGATTTTACTCCTGAACTTCAGCATACAAAATAATTAACAAGCCGGTGTGCGTGTGTATATATATACATATATATATTTATTTATTTATTTATGTATATATGTATGTATGTAGGTATGCATGTCTGCATATGAGAGAGATATATATATACATAGGTGCAAATGTGTATGTATGTGTATATATATATGTATACATGTATATATATATATACATATACACATATGTATACATCACTTCACTTTCACTTTCATGGCCATGTGTCCGAGTTGGACGCAGCCCTTTGGCTTGCATCAAATTAGAACGGTGAAACAGGAAGCCACTCCCTCAAGACAGAAATTGGCAAGAAGCTCACCCCTGACAGCGGTTTTGTGGGTGGGAGCAATCTTGCGAATGACCTCAACTACAGGGCAGGAGATCGCAGGAAGGAGAAGGCAGGCAGGCACACGATGTGCCCACAGAAAGAGGACGCCTCTGAGAAGGTCAGAGACGAGTCGAAGCTTGCAGAGTGGAGTGGAGATGGATCTGAAGGCTTTGAGCGGACGGGGCACCTCAAGAGAGGTCAACTCAACAGACCCTCGCAAGAAAGGAAGACAAATTGCGAGGTTGGCAGGCTGCTAGTAAGCTCAACAAAGTCCAAGCTTGTTGGAGACTGCATGCGTTGGCCGTGTGTGCGGAATCCAGGTACGGCCTGCAAGCAATTTAGCAGCAGAGAGTTGTCTGGCACAAAACCCCAACCAAGGCATTCAAAATCATAAACCCACTCAGCGAAGCCTTCAGAAAACTCAAGCCAGGGAAGTAAGACTTCTGCGTTGCGAAAGGCGGCAGGACTCTGCTCAACGTCAGCGCAACCTTCCCCAAGCCACTCGATAAAATCAACGCTTGCAAGGAATCTTGCTATCTGGGCGTGCCAGGTGGCCCATTGCACAGACGCGAAGTCCTCATCTAGTAAGGCGTTTTCAACATTGCCAAGCCACTTGAGGGCTGTGGCCTGTAGCCGCGAACGCTGCAGACACCTGCCCGAGAATATCACCTTGAAGCGCTGTAACAGAGCAGCTCTGTTATGGAAATCTTTTGCTTGAGTGCAGAAACAAGTCTCAAGCTCTAAGAGCGTTGTCTCGCAGGGCTGTTGGGGCTCCTCAAGAACAATCGAAAAGTCCCAGCATTGTCCTGGTCCCTGGGCCTGGACAGCAGGCTGTTGTCGTTGACTGCCATCATCGAACTTTCTACTACCAGTGCCCGGCTCGGGAGTACAATCAGCACCTGCGTTAATAAGCGCATGCCGGCAGTGCGTAGAATATGAAAGATGGTTACAGAGACCTTTGTTCGCCTTGAACTGCTTTACGCATACAGGGCACTGGCTGCCTGAGGCTAAACGACGCACGGGGTTGATTCGGCCATGCCGTTTAAAGGCGTGGTGCGACCAGGCTCTTAGGTCTTCAAAGATGACACCGCGTTGCGCACAGAGCTCAGAGGTGTCATTTCTGACAGAGAGCTCTGGAGGCACGGCTGCCCCATTTCGCACAAGGAATCGGTATGCAAGGCCCCAGTACTGCTGACGCTCGGCTGTCCAGTCGAGACCGCCCCTGACAAAAGCGGATGATGCGAGCCACCAAGATTCGCCGACAGCTAAGCTGCGACTCAGATGTGACGGAGCCCGAGATCGAGCAGGCCAGCTTCGGCACGGCAAAGAATGCCCAGCCGACAAAGACTGAGCAGCTGGATGATGACTCCGAGAGTGAGGACGAAGAAGAAGAGCAGCATCGGAAGAAACCTTTCCGGCTGGAGTATCGTCGTCCACCTTACAATCCTCACAAACCCATTCCCTTTTCTAGCTTCTGGAAAGAGGAGATTGAGATGGCGGGGCGACTCTTGTGCCCCGTGGATCGCCTAGTGCTTGAGGCCTTCAGAAAAGCTCGAAGGGAGTTCATGGCTGCCAAGACTGCAGAGGACGGCCAGGGAGTTCTGTATCCTTTTTGTCTAAAGCTCAGGTTTTGTGGATCCTCTTATTGTTTCTTGCTTCATCGAGGACTTCGATTGCCGCTGTTTGTCCTGAACTGGCTGTGCTTCTTCTTGTTATTCCTTTCGTTTGTTATGTTCCGTTCGTTCTTGCTGCCTGCTTTCGTGTTAGGCCGCTTTTGCTCTGCTTTGGCCTCTGTTGTTTTTGACATGTTGTGCATCGTGCTTACAAGTGTGTGGGAGCGTGGGAGCTTGCGCCCCCACTCCGCAACCCCCGTCCTCGCTCTTTTGACAACAAAGCTTGCTATGAAAACTTCTTGCCGTCGAAAGCAGACCCAGACGAGTCCTTTCCAAGCTCCCGTTTGGAAGGGGGGGAGGGCTTGTTTGTGACCATGCAAAGCCTGCCATGATGCACTTCCAGGAGCTGTGTTAAGATGTCTGTTCCACGGCCATCGCCCGATGTGGGAGCGGGTTTGAGAGACTGGAGCTATCGGCCGCCATCGCCGAATGAGGGGGTGGGATGAAGAAATGCCATTGCCTAGTGGCCCAATGAGAAGGTGGGCTTAAGAAAGGTGATCAAACAATGTCATCAACCGCCATCGCCTACTGCGGGTTCAACAAAACCAACCGCCAGTGCCTGATGACCGGGCGGGTGAGGAGACGCCCGTAAACCCCCCAATCATTTTCCAGCGCTGTGGCATGACGAGTGCTGCTCACAGGATGCTGATTGTTGCGCAGGTGATGATGGAGCGCATCACTTACCTTCTGGTGCCATTGTACGATAATTTTTATCTACTGGCTACTAGCACGACCATGCACGATCGTCGCATCATGACTCGCCTCTTCCTACATCTCCCTCCATCTTGCGAGATGATGGAGAAGCAGAAGCAGCTGGAGAAGAGTCAGCCGGCCGACGCGCCTCTCACGCAGGCCGTGCTGATTGCTGTTTCAGTGCTTTGTTTTGTCAGCATAAGGGCTGTGAGGCAACACCGGGCAACACGAGCTGTTGAAATAAAGAAGCATATTCGGGCTGCGCCGCTTGCCGGGTGTGTCATGATCGTCTGTGGATTGGGAGTCAAGTCATACCTTCAAGTGCTCGTGGCGTACGATGAGGTGGACACGCGGCTCACTGTCACTCAAGCTGAGGACGCGCCGTGGGTCCTCAGCGGTTCCACCTGCTCTGCCCGCACGTAGCCATTGAAATGGACGGGTTTCGATGAGCGATCGCGAGATCCCGAGAGTCTCTAGAGCCCTTGGATCCTACATCCTTAAACCCGAAAGGTAGAGAAGTCCACCAACAAACACTTTTGTTTTAGCGAGTGTTCCGGCGGGGCAAAGGGAAGCGATATTCTTGTGCTGAACCTTCGGGTCCTGCGCTAACCAGGATAAAACTTGGGTTCGGGCTTTATGGTGTTGAGGCGTGAGCCCTCGACCCTTCTATGCATCTTCAATTGCAACAGCAGCTAAGGGCTTTGGAGCCAAAACCTCTTGTCCAACAAACCGTGAACCTTCTCACCAAGAGACCCTAAGCCTGCTGTACACTGACCTGTCTAAGCAGGCTCTCTTGGCGAAGTAGCCAGGATACGAGGTCCTCACGCCAAACCCTATTGACCTAAACCCGGCCCCACACCCTAAACCTAACACCGAACCAACTGGGAGCAGGACAAGACCAATCCCTCATCTTCTTCCGGGGAGCCAGAGCCGGAAATGGAATCTAAAGCTCCACCAGAGCTCGTGGAGGAGATCTGGTTTAGGGTTTTGGGTTCAGCGTTTAGGGTTTAGGCAATGCTGGTGCAGGCTGATGTCACGGCCAAGGACGACAAGGACGGGCAGCAGTTGGCCGACAAGGACGTCGCAAAACTGCTCTGGGAAGGTTTGCTTAATGTTTGAGTTGTTTTTACAATTCGTGTGACATTTAAAACATTCCCTGGCCCCGACATTTCCGGCGGAAGAGGAGTTTAGATCGCAGACCCAGACCAGCCCAGATCCTGCCAAACAAATGATGTTGGGGCTCCGGTGATATCAATTAAAGGGATGACAATTAAAAAATTCCGAGCCAAAAAAACCCAAATTGTAGATCCTCACTGGAAGGAAAGCTTAATTAAAGGCAAGCCTAGACCCCCCTAGACCCAGCTGGCAGACTGCAGTTCCTCAGACAAATGGGCCTCGAGACAGAGGCTTTACTGTTCGAGGGCTGCAGGCTTTGGCCTGAAGCCAGGGACTCCGGATTCCAGGAACTGCAGCAGCTATTCTTGAGGCCTCTGCCTTACTAGAATTTTATATAAACGGAGCCATTTCACAAAGCCGGCAAGGGTATGCCCTTAGGAGCCCCTGCGGATCGCAATGATAGATGGGGTGACCATAATAAACTCCCGCCGGGGGGGATGTCCCGGAAGCAAGGCTTTCTTCTGATGGCTACTTAGAAAGCAAAAGCTAATGGGCCTTGAGACAGAGGCTTTGGTGTTGGAGGGCTGCAGGCTTTGGCCTGAAGCCAGGGACTCCGGATTCCTGGGCTATTACGAACCCTAGCCAGGGCCAGAGGTTATTATTCCCACTCCCCCACCCAAAACCCTGCCCCAAGAGACCCCGCGCAAAACAACCTCGGGGTGGGTTTATTATTACAACCCCAGCATTAAGCGCTACAGCAGCGCTGAAAGACTGGAATCATTGATACAGCAGTTTGAAGTGGCAAAGACAAGGACCTAGCCGAAACCCAGGGCGACATCGGAGCAAACAGAACGCAGCGTGGTACGTGGTGCGGTGAAGCGCAAGATTGCTGTGCTGGATCTTACCCAGCCCCTGCCACCACGGCCCGACCGCACGACATCGGTGGCGGGTTGTCGCATTCCTCACTGCTTGAATCGCAGTTCCCGTTGCTGGTACACGGATCGCGATTGTGATTGCAGCCGAATGAAAAGATCGCTAGATCCCGAGAGTCTCTAGAGCCCTTGGATCCTACGTCCTTAAACCCGAAAGGTAGAGAAGTCCACCAACAAACACTTTTGTTTTAGCGAGTGTTCCGGCGGGGCAAAGGGAAGCGATATTCTTGTGCTGAACCTTCGGGTCCTGCGCTAACCAGGATAAAGCTTGGGTTCGGGCTCTGTGGTGTTGAGGCGTAAGCCCTCGACCCCTCTATGCATCTTCAATTGCAACAGCAGCTAAGGGCTTTGGAGCCAAAACCTCTTGCCCAACAAACCTTGAACCTACACTGACCTGCCTACGCAGCCTCTGGTCCTCACGCCAGACGCTATTAACCTAAACCCGGCCCCACACCCTAAACCCTAACCCTAAACCTAACACCGAACCAACTGGGAGCAGGACAAGACCAATCCCTCATCTTCTTCCGGGGAGCCAGAGCCGGAAATGGAATCCAGAGCTCCACCAGAGCTCGTGGAGGAGGTCTGGTTTAGGGTTTTGGGTTCAGCGTTTAGGGTTTAGGCAACGCTGGTGCAGGCTGATGTCACGGCCAAGGACGACAAGGGCGGACAGCAGTTGGCCGACAAGGACGTCGCAAAACTGCTCCGGGAAGGTTTAAGCGGCTACAGCAGCAGTGAAAGACTGGAGTCTTTGACACAGCAGTTTGAAGTGGCAAAGACAACAGTGCAAGATCTGGGAAGGCGCAAAATGCAGTCAAAATTTCTCATGCAACAGTTCGGGCTAGCCTTGGGCGAGGCTCTGGCAGTATTGGACCTAGCCGACCCCAGGACGACATCGGAGCAAACAGAACGCATCGTGGCATGTGGTGCTGTGAAGCGCAAGATTGCTGTGCTGGATCTTACCCAGCCCCTGCCACCACCACCCGACCCCGCGACATCGGAGCAGACAGAAGGCATCGTAGCAGGTTGTGCGGTGAAGCGCAAGACGCGCAACATTGCCGTGCTGGATCTTACCCAGCCCCTGCCACCACCGCCCGACCCCACGACATCGGAGCAGACAGAAGGCATCGTAGCAGGTTGTGCGGTGAAGCGCAAGACGCGCAAGATTGCCGTGCTGGATCTTACCCAGCCCCTGCCACCACCGAAACGTGCGAAGCGAGTCCAAACAGATGATGCAGCAAGGAAGCCCATCGAGAGTACTGCTTTGGTTCCTGAATTCGCCAAGCCTCCGAAGAATCGTTCGAGAAGCATCAGGCGGAGGAGCACTGGAGGAGCCCGACCACCCGACCAGCACGACGACGAGCAACTTGGCAGAGAGCCATCGCTGAAAAGGAGCGCGAACGCTGGCTTTGGAGACGTGCTGCTTTGCCCTTGTGACTCCTCGAAGTACAGTTGCGCATGTTTACAAAGTTTACACCCAATATAACTGCAATCTACTATAGTAAACTATAGTATATTGTAATATTTCATATCCCATAATATTATGTAAATATACCACACTGCTACGGCATACTATTTTTTGTGCTATCATGACGATGATTCGTCCGTCGTTACACTTCAGGTGCTGCCCCACCGGATCTCTCCTCATGTCTATCCGGAGATCCGGCTCCCTGCCTACGGTTGCAGCTGGGGTTTAGGAGGGGTTTAGGGGTTTAGGGCTTTAGGGGTTCAGGGTTTAGGGGAAAAGGGGAAAAGGGTTTGGGGTTATGCGTGTTGAGCCATTCAACTTAGACTCATGGATTGTGGTCATAAGCTGGGTCTCAGTAGGTGATGCCACCCTATTGCGTGGGTTTTGATGGTCTCAGCCGGGAGCCGAGGAATCAGGCCAAAGTGTCTACGTACCTTTACTTGCAGACCCCGCCCGGGCGACTTGGTCAGAACGGGCAGGACGAACGCAATGCTTGCTTTCAGAAGTATCGTGAAAGCTGTTTCAGCAGGAGGCAGTTTTTTTCTTTGTGTGTGTTGCATGTTGCATAACAGCCGACTGCAACATTGCCAGCCGGCGAGTTTCACCGGAACATGAGCTGTGCAGAGTTGCCCCGCTAAGGTGGGCCGTCTTGATGCTGCAGCCTCGGTCAGTAGTTGAAGCGCAGACGTTTGTGCGCCTTGCGGCCCTTGCGTGCAAGGAGCGACATCCCGAACGTGAAGCGACGCCCGTTGCTCAGCCGCTCGGGTGTTTCGTGAAGCATTTGGTGGTTCTTGCAACTGAGCTGTCACTGTCAGGGTTCCGGATATTAAGCGCACTGATTGACGCTTGGAAGCAGCATGATCTGAGGAATTCATTGTGAGATAGCAGCCAGCTCGGGGTCAGGTCGCCGTAGCTTTTGAGGATGCAAGCAGACTGAGGTGTTACGGATTAGCAGCAGTTGGCATTTTGAATTTCCCAGTCGCTCATGTTCCCCTAAACCCTAAACCCGAAACCATGGAAGGACACCGACTGGTATTTTCCAGCACATCCCTGGCACGCAGTGGTGGAGCTGCCCAGGACGGCAACATACAGCAGACGAGGGTTCAGGGTCTGGGCTTTTCTCGTCGTCCCGTCTGGCTGCTAAAGCCTAGAGAGGACAGAAGCAGAAGGAGCCGGAAACCGGAATTTCAAGGGGCAATGTGGGGCTTGGCTATCATTCTCATGGAGTTATGATCGCTTAGATCATTGTTTCGGACACTGACCATTATTATCGTCTTGGTGCAATAGGTTCTTTCATGGTGGTTTAAAGTTAATATTCTTACGAATTACCATCCTTCATCGTACTTCTTGTCTTGTCGTGGTTATGAGTAGACTGCTTAGTGTTAGAAGGCTGTCATCTTGACTGTGACTGCCCTGTCAGACGTATGGTTATATCATGATAAGGGGGTTCCTGCCGACACGCAGGACGGCAGCCGGGGAGCCAATCGTGTTGAGGGAGGGCGAGCCGTGGCTGGGCTTTGTATTGCAACGGATTTTTGCAGCGCTTCATGATAGGAATCGGGAGTTGCAGGTTGGTGGGTGTCAGAGTTAGCAGGTGTTGCTGTTTTCTCAAACAGTCCCCATGCGCTTTGTCTGGTGCTCTGCTGCTTGGAGCCCGGGGGCTTCGGACATCTGAGGCTTTGCAGGCTGACGCCGGTGAGGCGCGGCACGTATGCAGCCCGGTGCCCAGCGGGGCTGGGACTTCAAAGCGTAGCCCTCGGTGTAAAGTTGCGGTAGCATCTGCAGATCCGTCGTTTGGTTGTGGCCTCACATCATTTCACGCCTCGCACCTCCGGGGAATGAATTAGAGGCTCATGCCACTGCAAAGGGGTCGGTAAAAGGGGGGAGCCATGCTCCCTGTTGCGGTCATTGCTGTGTCGGTTGAAGTTTTGACGGTAGACGGCGCGAGTGTCAGGCCCGTGAGATGAAGCCGGAAGAGGCTCGGATTTTCGTTTTGCTGCCGGGTGTTTGTCCTGGATGTTTCGTCGCGAATTCTGCTCTTGTACTCGGAGTACAGCTTCCGATTCACCTTAAGGGCTGTTGGTGTCGACAACTTGCCAGTCGAGTTGATCTTGTCCGACCCACGCCGAACGTGCGTGAGATGCTTGCTGCTTGTCGTGCACCTTTGATGGTGCTATGCCTGCAACGGCGATACGAAGGTAGCGAGTGTTCGTGTCGTAGACATGTTCGCACGGTGCTTCGCCTGTGTTCGTTCTGCCCTGCGCAGTTCAAGAAGCTCTATCGTGGTGGCACGGAGCCTACAAGTCTGCTGGAATATCCTACTGCGTCTTCAGAGCCGAATCCGGATGACGCACAGGAGCACTCGAGCATGCCGAAATTGAGTGGAGTGCTAGTGGTGCGCTGTTTGGTGCTTGGTGTGTTAAGAGGCCTCGAAACACAAAGCCACATCCTTCAGGCCCCGTAAGAAGCATGCAGGGAAAGTAACAGCATACCATGCAGACCCCCAGCCCGAAATCCCTCAAAGTCCTAACTCCACCCAAAGCCGATGACCCCCAGAAGCCCCAAACACCCGGAAAGCCCTAACCCTCCTGAACCCCAAAGCTGGCCGCTATCCACGGCTCATCCCAGTACAGGACTTCTGGCTGGCTAGGTGCAGTTGGAACAGGTCCAATTCAACGAAAAGTCACCCTGATCAAAAATTACCCTAAACAACCACCAACCTCCTAAGAACCCTCCTTAAACCCAAACTCGAAACCCTAGAGCCTTAAACCCTCGAGCTCAAGAGCTCCGGAGCTTTAAACCTAAACCCTAACCCATAAATCCCAGAACACCCCTCCCTCAAAACAAAAAACCAGAATCTTAAAACCCTAAGCTCCACCCCCCCCTCGGCTGAGGAAAACTAGGTCTATTTAATTGGAAGCTGCCGTCCGTTCGGAATCATATGATAGCATAAATGTCGTACTGGTGAAATTCACTGGTGAAATTCATATTGCATGTAGAGTTGTGAAATCGGGCCAGCCAGTCCTCGAGACCCCCCTTTACGGCCCGTACATGCATCCGGTGACAGTGGGAAGACTCGACAAAGGCATTACTACAGTCACCTGCAACTTGCTGTTCTCTTGCTAGAATCATGCTGGTCGGGCAGCCGTGTATCTACTTCGCCAAAGGCGTACACAACGCGGCTGTTCCGACGTGGATCAGCAAGATGGATGGCAACACTTGGGTGTTCGCCTGATTTGTTTTCTGAATTGCTTCATTCCAATTCTCAGACGCACGTATTGCTTTATCAGGTTACGGCGGCATCTGTCCGGGAGATATCCTACTCCTTCGACCAGGTAATATTGCGCTGACGCATTGTGTTGTGTGATGTCTGCTGTAAGTTGAGCAGCGTTTATTTCTTCACCATTACTGCAGGCATCCGAGAGGCTAGCCTGCCCAGCCTTGACGAGATTCGCGAAGCAGTGAGGACGACAACACTCTGCAAATATTTCGTTTCCAGGCGTGATCACGATGTTTGCAGGGCACTGTCCTATTGCAGCATTGTTCTGCCTCCAAGAGCTTTGCTGATGTGGACTCGCTGGGTCAACAATGCTCACGCCGACGTCTCAACCTTTAAGCGGGACAATTTGTGACGCAGCTGTCATGTGACTGTCGAGGAATCTGCTCACAAGTTTAACACGAACGAGGTTGGAGATAAACTGTTCACTGCATAACCGTGTCAACGTCCGTGATCATCACAGTACTTTTTGAACGCAGTTTAAAGCGAAGGTATTCCGCACTGACAAGTACAAGCTTAAATCACAATATCACCATCCTACATAGACGAAAAACAAAACAGCACCGACGACACACACAGCACACACACACACACACACGCCCACCACAGGCATAATTATTTATGGTCATGTTGAAACAGGAATCGAAAACCAAAACCTACCATTCGGTCTTTTAGCAAAATGCAATCATAGCCGTTTGAAACTTTGGCCTTGGTCACTTCATCTTGCCTGGAAGCAATGCAGGCAGAGCCCGCCGCCAAGAAAGCCCGTTGGTTTCCTAAGCACGCAAGTGTATGATTCCTGTGGTCGTTCGCCGTTAGTTGTTGTCCATTTACTTCGCTGTGCGCATTGAAGGCTTCAGCGCGCATCCGAATGCATGGTGCTGTCCAAAGACGCCTCCCCGTGAGGCCGGCGACCAGTGCAGTCGGGAAGTGGTTTTCTACAAGGATCAACACACACAGTTTGAACCTATGATTCCGAGAGGACGCTTGGGAAAAGGACCATGGCCAGGCAGAGTCCTCCTGCATCATTCGCATAAGCATCTTGAATCGTTGATTTTTGTAGGACTTGCGGGGCAAAGATGACAATGAACAGGCATATGTGCTCATAGGTTGAAAATAAAACACTTTTGGCTTTTGGTTCTGGCACCACTCATGGAGCAGAGCGGACTATCGCCAGGCAGATGGCTAATGCATTCTTAGACGAAAACCGTCAATCTCTAATTTTGACAGGATTCGTGGGGCAAGTGGGAAAGTAAGCAGGAATTGATGATTGTGCGGCTTAGAAACTAACATGCTGGATGTTTCCTTCGCAGGACTACAGTGCATGGTGCTGGCACGAGAGCAGCCCAGGTGGATGCACGCGCGAGACGTGCAAATGGGTCTACTTGGAAGATGCCTTGTTCGTTTCGTATTTGAGACGAAGCCTGGGTTTCACCTATTGAAAACTTGATAATTATGCAGCTTCCAAACAGACCCGGTTTTGCTCACATCCCCCCCCCTTCCTGGCGTGCTAGGGGCTTTGTGCGCTCTTCCCTGGCTGAGGTCAGGCTTGGCTCCAGAAGAACGGGCGCCCCTCGGAGGATCCCGAGGCCAAAGTAGGGGCAGCTTCTTGGGGTTTTTGGGGGGTTGTTGGGGGGCAGATTTTGGGGTGTAGGGTGGCGTTTATTGGGGTTTAGGGCTTAGGCTGTTTAGGGTTCCTGGTGATTTTTGGGGGCTCGGTCTCTTCTGGACGGTTTGAGGCCTTCGACCTTTGACGGTTGCTTTCGGATTGAGGTCGTTGCGGTTTAAGTTTAGGAATTTAGGTCCCTAAATTAGCAACCTTAAAACGTAAACCCTGAAACCTTAAGCTTTGCAGTATACACCCCCGAAGCCAACCACTTGGGAAATATTTTGGGTGGTTCGGAACGCCCATGGGCGATGAGGCCCGCAGAGTTAGCCGAGTCACGGCTTCGAATGTCTGGGTGTTTTCATCACACTTCAGCATCATGAGACTGCAAGATAGCATAAACCCTAAACCCCTAAGCCAAAAAACCCAGAAGGACTCGGTTTCGCAAGGCCGAGGAGGGCGTCCTGGACATCCGCGGAGCCTATGCTCGCAAGCAGCAGCCGCTGGACTTCGAGGCGACGAGCCATCGTCCACCAAGGGTTCAGGGTTTAGGGGTTTAGGGTTAGGGTTTTGCCGGGGCAGACATTGAGTCAGAGAGACAGACACTGGTCGCTGGGCGGCCACAGTAGAGAAGGAGAAGACAAGGCGAAAACTAGGGAACACATGCAGATCGACACCCGGACCTGTGCACGGAGAGCCGTTCGTGGAGAGACGAGCTCTGGCAAAATGCAAAAGGCGCGATGCTTGCTTGTGAAGCGGGTTGTGTGTCGGGTGAGCATCATTTCTGAGTCGTGTGCCTGTGCGGGCTGTACACGAATCAGTGGTAGTACATCACAGATCTTCGCTTGTATCGCGCAGAGCTTGTGGTCAAGTGTCAAGTGCTGAGGGATCAGCAAATCCTGATCATAATCCAGCCCTTCCACGCATTGACTTGCGCGTGTTCCCCGAGTGCCAGGGTATACCATGCAAAAAGGAGGCTACTTGTGTGTACGTGTACTTCACAGTGCCATCTGCCTTTCTTCCACGCCGAGCCCGCATGCACTGACGCTGGTTCGCTTCGTGGAGCTCCCCCCCTGCAGAAAGCACAGAAGAGAGATTCAGAGAGACATGGACAGAGCAGATGGCAGACAAACATGGCCTTGGCATGTGTGGTGTTTTGCAGGCATTTTCAGCTCAAAGGCTCCTCCTTCTGCTCAAAGGGAAGAACTTGTAGACTTCTGCCATGGCCGAACGACCTGGCAACGAGGACTTCGAGGGAGTAGTGGCCCCGGCGAAATCAAACACAGAAGGGGCGGCTACTCCTGGAAAGATTCAGCAAGATACTCCCGGTGTGCATGCTGATGCAAAGAGCGCACTTAGCAGAAAGACATTCTTTTGCCTTGCAGCTGCATACACAGTGGAAGGTGTAGATTCACAGCTCCTCAGCACCTGTCTCTTTGCTTTACAGAGAGACATCGAACTCACCCTCCACGAGATTGCCATTCTGACAACCGCCCAGATGATCTTTGCCAATTTGGCAGCTCCCTTTTGGGGAATCCTTGCCGATCGACAAGTGCTGTCACGGCGGACCATCCTGTCATGCGGTTGCATCGGTGTTGGCTCCGCTGTGACTGTCATGTCCCTCGTGTCCTCAATGCTGCCCCTTGTTTTCCTCCGTGCAATGTGCGGCTTCTTCCTGGCCTCTCTGAAACCCGTCAGCATCGGCCTGGTGGCAGACGCAACGCCAGAACAGCATCGAGGCAAGATTTTTGGGCAATTGCAAAGCTTCTTCATGTTCGGAATGCTCGTCACCACGCTGATCGGCGGCAATGTGGCGAACATCTTCATTGCTCGGCTTGCGGGCTGGCGCGTCCTGTTCTTTGTCACCGGTGTTCTAACATATGCCGTGGCAGCGATCTTGGCCAAGTGCATGGTGGAGCCCCCGAGGAAATCGGAGAAGCCGGATAATTCCAAAACCGGAGCTTGCACGACTGTCGGGCAGGAGCTCATGGCCGTGCTACGCTTCCTGACGATCCCATCTTTCAGCATTTTAGTATTACAGGGCATCTTCGGGAGCATTCCTTGGAGCATCATGGGGAACAACCTGCTCTATTTCAAGCTGTGCGGCTTGCAGGACTGGGAGTCTTCCATTCTGACAGCAGAGTTTACAGCTGCCGGGATGATCGGCGCCCTCCTGGGTGGCTTCGTCGCTGACACCTTAGCAAAGCGACTGGGTCAGCATGGCAGGCCGCTGAATGCACAGATTACGGTGGCGATCGGAATCCCCTTGATGTACCTGCAGTTCTACGGGGTTCCTGCGGGGCAGGGATCCTTCTGGGTATACTTCGCGATCATCGGCTCCTTCGGTGTCTTCGCTACGTGGGCTGGCATCGGCACGAATCTTCCCATCCTCTCGGACATCGTGCCGGCAGAGCACCGTTGCAAGGCGGGGGGTTTCGTCGATCATGCACAATTGAAATCTGAATAACATAAGACACAAGTCGGCATCAGATAGGAATTAATTTGGAACATCATTCGATCGACGTGGAGCTAAGCCAGTGCAGCCGAGTTACACCCTGTGAGGTCATGGCTTGGGAGGGCGCTTTGGAGAGCAGTACAGCGGCCGCTATTGGTCCGGTGATCGTTTCGCTTTTGGCTCAGAATCTTTTCGGCTACCACTTTGGCGAGGACGGCAACACGGACAGCACCTTGGACTCAGCCACAGCGCTTGGAAAGGCCATGGCGGCTACCATCTGCATCCCGTGGAGCATTTGTCTCGTTGCCTACAGCCTCCTGCATTGGAGTTATCCGCGGGATCTGCGCCGATTGCGGGAACAGCGCAAGGCTGGGGAAGTGAGCTCCGAAACCCAGGGCAGCCTCGCACCGAGTGTATGAGCAGCTCTCGGCTGGAGCAGAGTGATGACTAGGCGCCCGCCCGCTCCACTCGTGAAGGAACGTGGACTGGCGAGCATTGCAAAGGCCTGAGAAGGCAAGTGCATGAGGGCATCCCCTTTTTCAATACCCGTGCAGCAACAGGAGGCTGTACCATCTTCGGGGCACGCTCTTGCTAAATCCCAATACCGAACTTTATCGCTGGAGAGGCCCACAACTCAAAACAACCGAGCTTAGAAGCCCAAGTGGGTGCTGGACTGTACAGTGCTACTCTAGCATGTTGTCCTAGCTTTTGTAAAAAACGGGCCTCACAGGTTGGCTGCCAAGGAGATTTGAATGCTTTACCTGGCTGCAAGCAAGCTGGGGGACCTGGCACATCAGCCGCCTATACCAATCCGAAAAATGTTTAAGCAAGAGTCGTGCCCTCATGAAGCAAGCGAGGAAGTGCTGGCTTCACCATACCGTGCATGTGGTCTGATGCTTGTTAAGCAATGGCCTCCACCTGCAGCTCATGAAGGAGCTATATGCTGTTGCTGCGAGTAACGTTGTTCCGATGGCGACTCGGGCTCCATGACGTGGCCCGCAGAAAAGCTACGGGATTGCATGTGCGTGACTGATTCAGTTTTCAGCCGTGCCACTGCTTGTGCCTTTGCCTGGCAGGTCAGAAGACGACGGAGAACTGTTGTGCCATGGGATCAGTAGTTCCGTCACGTTCCAAGGAGGTAGCCCCGGCTAGGCACGGCAGGTCATGAACACCAGCAAAAAAAGGATCTACTGTGCGGCTGGGCGCTTCGGCTGTTGCTGCATGCTGGGCGCACGAACCTCGCATGCTGAATTGCGCACATAGGTCAGCCTACCAAAGTCTATGAGCTTCGAGCATCGCAACTGCTTGCGGCTCATGAAGGCAGAGAGTGGCTAAACCGAAAATGCGTACTGCCACAAACCATGGCATTACAGCATGCAGCCTGGGGCCCTGAGTTGCACACCCTTCCAATCCAACAGACATTTTCACAAAGTGCGAGGCTGTTGTGCTCTCATGTATTGCTGCGAGCTTGGCATGCTGTGGCAAGGCTCTGGGCTTGTACGCGGTCTTTCCGTCGCCTAGGGTATAAGACGTGGGGGCGTTGCTCGAGGGCCCTGGGAACTGAGCCCCTCCTGCATTGAATTGTGTATGCCGCCAGTACTCCGCTGCATGTCGGATGGCAGATGCTGGCAGGTTCGCAGGTCCTCTGGCCGGACAAGCGCAGATGACTTCGGAAGCAATAAACGAGCAGCACACTCAGAGATCAATGTGAGCATGCGATGGCAAGACTTGAAAGCAGCAACACTCTCTTTCTAGATGGAATTTCTTGGGCACAGAACACAGCCTGAGCTTCTGCTATCGTTTGCACTTCCCTTCGGTGGTGATTCAGCCTGCGCCCTTTCTGCCAAAGCTTTGACCTTCTCCTAACCCCTCTGAATGCCTTTCTAGTAACCCTCATACCCTTGTAGTGACCCTCAAAGGACCTTATTAAAGCAACTCTCCAAGGAACCCTTCTAGAATTAGCAGAAGCCCTTTCAGTGGGCCTACTTGGAGGTTCATGGGTAGTCATAAATGGGGTTACAAGTCCCCTAATATGGCTTATAAGTATAGTTACCCTAATTATGACCCCATTTATAACTACCCATGGACCTCCAAGTAGTGGAAGGTCCACAGATGGCTTTGGGCAGGACTCCCGGGATACTGAAGCTTTCTGGATTCCATGGACAGATCAGGGCTTAGGGTTTCGGGTCTAGGGGTTTAGGTTTAGGGTTCCGAGGTTTCATAATTTAGGATTTCAGGTTTGAGGTTAAAAACTTAGGGTTAAGATGTGTAATTTAGAGTTTAAGGTTTGAGGTTCTAATACAATATAGGGTCGAGCTTTGAGGTTGAGGTTTAAGCCCTAAGGTTAATAACTTCGGGTTTACGCGTTAAGGTTCATGAGTTGTAAGGTTTAGGGCTTGTAGTTTATGGTTGAAAAATCTATGTTTTTAGCTCTATAAGGCTTCTAATATTTCTAAAAAAAGGGTCGAAAATTAACGGTTAAATATTTAGGGTTTAATGTTTCAAGTTTGGGTTTAAGGTTTATGGTTTCAAACTCCGGTGATGTCGTGAATGCCCCCTTGTGTGCGCGCGATGGAGCTCACATGCGTACGCGTGCCTGCATGCATGCAACTATGCCCGTCCGTCAGTGCCGAGGTAGACAGACACAGCGGATATGATGTGGAAGAGACGGCGGGTGGGACTGGCAAACAGTATCGGAGTTCCGCTTTTGTCTTGCAAAGTGGTGAGGTGGCAGAGAATTATCGTCCAGCTGCTTGCAAAAGCTGGCTAGCCAAGGACGCAAGGCAAAGCAGCCTTTGAGAAGTTGGACTCGAGATCCCTCTGCAGAAGCCCTGCATTGGCGTAGCGCGGCATCAGACTGACAGCAACCCTCAGCAGCCTGCTGAGGGATCACAAAGGATTCGACCATCAAAGGGTCGAAAGGATAAGACAGCGACGCGTTTTTTTGTAAAAGGCCGCCAAAAATCACCGCATCCTGAGCCTCAACGTAGCGTTGAGCTCGACCGCCCCCTTGCGGACGAGTTTCAGATATCGCCCTTTGCAGGACACACCGGTGCCTCCCGCGAGGAAGTTCCACAGAGCTCTGACCTTTGCTTCTCTGAGACTGTTTGCTGCTGTCCTTGCAGTCCTTGCTTGCCTCTTCAGGCGCGGTCGTCCTTACGGATGGACCCTGAGGCGTGGTTCCGGTGGGTACAGTTGCGCATCTCTGAGTCCCGGATCTCCGAACTCGAAGTTACTAAGGCCTAGCCCCTGAACTGGTAGGTAGACCCTATGTCTTGTTTTGGAAACTGCTACAGCCGTACGTGCTACATCATTTAGCCCCAAGCCCAGAAATTCTACCACCCTCAAGCCACCAACTCCAAAGTGGGCAGTTTGCTGTAAAACCCCAAGCCCTGAACACAAAACTCTAAAGCCCTACAAACCCTAAACCCTAACCCGAATACCCTACAAAAAGTCTAAAAACCCCTAAGCCCTAAACACCCCTAACAACCTAAACCCCACAGAACTCTTGTTTATGTAGGAGGCCGCCGGCCTAGAGCTCGAGAATCGCCATCTTCGCCGGCGCGTGGCCGTCCCGTGGCCCTTGGGACGGGGTGGGTTTTAGGGTTTAGGGAATCAGGCATCAGGGTTTGGGGGAATCAGGGTTTGGGGTTTAGGTTTTCGGGATTTGGGGTTAAGGGGATGTTCAGGAAATAGTCGGAAATAGGGGTGTTGGGGCCATGCATCAGGGTTCGCTGAGGTTCGGAATTCGGGTTTAGGGGATTAGGGTTGTAGGGGTTTAGGGGATGAGGGCCATGAGGGTTCCTTTGGGGTTCTTTCCATCTGGGATGCGACAGCCAAGCACTCCGCAGAGGGCCTCCAGCGTGCATTGCATCGAGGAGTTCATTGCACGTCAAGCTGAAACATGCCGTGTGCCCTAGACAAAGGCTCCCTAGAAGGGCGTACCGTCCCTTCTATAGTTCGGCTCCAACCTGCTCTAGCCTGCTCTAGCTCGTTTGCTTGCGCCCATCTCTTCATCTCCCCCGTTTGGGAGAGCGGCTCGTGGAACCAAGGAGCTGGAGCATGCCGCAACCTCGGACAGGGAACCCTCAGTCAGATCATGAAGCCCACGTAGCGCAGATGCTACATGCAGCAGCTGCCGGCATTCCTGGGAAAAGCGTGGACTCACAAAGGAAACCCCATTCAAGAACCCTATGGTCCCTTAACAGGGAACCCTATAATGGAGCCCTATGGTACCCCTTAAAAGGGAACCCTATCATAGAGCCTCTATGGTACCCCTTAAAAGGGAAGCCTCTGCAAAACTGTCGGCTTCAACTTTGGGGTCCTCCGAGCTGAGCCCTCCTCCGAGGCCCTTGAGGCCAGGCCGGGCGAGGGAGAAAGCCAGGGCCCGTCGAAGCCGAAATCGCCGCAGAAACTCCTCCAGGCCGGAGTTTCGGACTTTACGGGTTTAGGGGTTTAGGGGTTTAGTGGTTTAGAGTTTAGGGGTTTAGGGGTTTAGGGATTCGGGTTTCTTCCTTTGTTCTCGCTGACGCCTTCTAACTGCGGCAGACCCGTCGAGAAGGGGAGAAAAAAAAACGTCGGCCGAAGCGGCAGGGGCTGGACTCCAGCGGCTCCAGCGAGGAGTCTGACGAGGAGGCTCTGCGAGCGGTCACCTGGCTGGGTTTAGGGTTTAGGGTTTAGCGTTTAGGGATGGGAAGGCTTTGAAGCGTGGACGCTCGGAGACGGGACCCTATAGCTTTTCTCATCTAAGGAAAAGCGAACGAAAGGGTGCGATCCCAAGCCGTCCTGCGCTGTAGGTAGGAACGCGAAGAGGTGCTGTTGTCATGTTTCTAAGGATCGTGGTGTCAGGCAAGTGGAGGAAGCTGGCAAGAGCCCCGGGCAACGGTATACTAATTCTAGCTGGGAAGGAACACAGTGCAACGAGACATAGCTCAACGCATTTTCTTGTTTCTGTCTGCAAGAGCATTTGAGGGTTAAAATTAGTGCTTTGCTTAAGATCTCCATAAGTCTCCGTACGGGTTTTGCCTGCAGGCGGAGGGCATGAAACGCCTGGTGCGTGAGCAGGACATGGTCGGGCGCTCAGTCATCCGGTTCTCCAGCGTGGTGGAAAGGCCCTGAGCTGTGCCATGACAAATTCTGAATTATTGTTGAGTTTGAAACTAGTCTGTGAAACACCGGTCCAGCTCGTCCATCAAACCTCAGGTGCCGCGAGCGCATGTACAGGCATAATTAGAGCTTTTATGAGCTTTTCTCGCCTGCAAGCAGCCATGACGGTCGAGCGTCCCAGGGATGTGATGCAGTGGTTCGAGTCGGTGCCGCACTTGCTAACCGACCAGGAGTGGGAGGTGCGCGAACGTGCTGGGCTGTCAAGCCTGTCCCACTGCCACTGCCCGTGGGGTGGTCACTTGTTAAAGCTGACCCTCAGTGGCATCCGGGTGCAGAATGCTGACACCACCAAGCTACTGCTCAGGCCGGAGACCAGAGCAATGCATGAGACGCTGGGAGGTGGCATCGAGCTGCTGGAGCAGCTGGCACCAGGCGATGCGGCCGTAAGGCGACCTGTGTTTTGGGGGCTTCTGCAGCAGCTGACCGGCCTGGTGTTCGGTAACACTGAGGCCCCGGGCATTGGCCTGTCGGAAGTTTCCGTTCCCATCATTAGCCAACAGACACTTTGCCGAGCCTGGCCAACAAATGAAGACACTACCCTCATGTTCTCCACAAATCAGTGCGATCCTGCCGACGCCCTGCTGATCTGCCGACCACAAACAACTGACCAGGTTGGACTTGTGGGAATTTTCGCAGTGTCTGCAGAAAAGTTCGACCAATGGATATCAACTCACCACGCGCTGTGGCTCGACACAGCCCTTCGGGCGGCGACGCAGTTCTTGAATCGGCCGGGGATCACCGAGTTGCGTGCCCTGGACGCGAACATGTACACCGTCCTTAGCATCCACAGCTGCAAGCGAGGGCCCCCGCTGCTGCCGCTGGCACCTGGTTCAACTGAGCCGGCATCTGTCACGATCAAGACAGACGAACGGAGTCAACTTGGCGAATGGAGCCGCACTCCGTTGGGCCCGGATGGCAAATTTCGCTTGGTGAGCCTCGTCAAGCAATTTGCCGCGA